TAATTGATATCCATTTCGAGATAAGTTTGCCCTTAGAAAATTTTAACCAGCCAAACCCACATGTGGATCTGCAGAAGAAATTAATGGTTTGTTAGTAGGAACCCATTTGGTACAGACCTCTTTTACAATTAAATAAAAAGGCATCTTGCATGGGTTGTTACTGCCGTAAAAAATATCTCGTTTCTCAACTCATTCAAACTATTTGATTCTCCACCGAAAATTTTAGTAAAGAAAATTTCCAATTCGCTAGATATGAGCTAGTTTAATTTAATAGTAAATGGCTCGTTTAAGAATTCGCACATTGAAGATACCACTGAATTTCCTCCTCTTTTTAATGCAACAAATGCGGTTTTTTCATCTCCTCCTTATTGAAGGTGTGGAATCCCGTCAGAATTGTAAAGAAAATTAAGTTTTGGCTCCAATTTAATGTTTTTTGGTTTTTTCCGCTTCCAAAACATATGAATATTGAACAATCAACGAGAAAATGTTGGATACATTCAAAGTGATAACATATTGTTGATGAAACAAAAATGCCTTACTCTTTGAGTAATCTATTGTAATTCCAGTTTACAAAACTGACTTCTAACTACAGACCGATTTCCTTAATTACTTTCCGTGATACTGAAAAAAATCTGAAGAAATTGGGGAGTTAATGAGGTTACAATATTTAAAAAAAAATCTTAACTGAAAATAGAAAAATGATATTAACTTGAACTTTTTAGCAAACATCATGCTCTAAAAGGAGAAGAAGCCCTTTGATGTTGAAAAAAAAAATCTGATAAAAAATAGGGGATATAAGGTCTGTCGGGGTTTCTGGACCCACGGGGTAACTAGACCATGGAATATTTCCCACCACATCGTTCAAATTCTTTTATTTTACACAGTTGGCTAGGGTTAAGTAGAGCACTACCAACATAGAACAAAAATCAGTTAAATTTGGAATTTCATGGTGGCAACAAATTTTGCTAATAAAAATCTAGTAACATCGTGCTGTAAATAGTGTTATTTTCAAGGATATCTACCTACAGGTAAGCAATGAAAGATATATATTATTTTTGGGGTAATATTTTCACTTTATTTCAAGAAATTACGTTCGTATATAATTAATTACTTACAAGGATAAAAATGTGGAAGGGGTGGCCCAGTTACCCCATAAAAAGTTTGCAAACGGGGTATCTGGGTCATACGCTTGGGGTATTTGGGCCACTATGGTCCAGTCACCCTGCTCACATGGTGCGGAACTATGTGAGAAAGACGCAGAAGGGTGCCGGTACTACATATACCAGAGAAGACTTAGAAAAAGCTTTATCTGATGTTCAGAATGGCAACAAAACGACTCGTGGAGCAGCTACTCTTTATAACATACCACGATCAACATTAAAACAGTATGTATTAGGGACTCGGGGTAAAGGTTATACTTCTACGGGTGACAAAAGGTGAGGAGGAGTATCTTCATATCTTTCAAAAGAAGAAGAAGAAGAAGAGATAGCAAATTGTTTGAAAGTATCAGAAAAAAATGGGTTCGGGCTCTGTCGCGAGGAAGTTATTGATATGGTTGAACTGTACATAAAGCAAAACAATATATCAACGAGATTTAAGGACAGTCGTCCCGGTCCTGACTGGTTTACGTCTTTCCGACGTCGTCATGCACTGTCCATCAAGAAACCTCAAATTATAGAGCACGTCAGATGTGATCAGGTTTGTTATATATTATATATTACCATTATATATGGTTTTGATTTAGGATCTATTTTTTTTTGCTGCTGATGAGGAGTTAAAGCATAAGCTCTACAACCGAAAACTCGGAGATGACTGAAATCTACTTTAGATCCAGTCCATATTTCCTGTGGTGTAGCCCTATTAATAGCAGTCGTAGGACAAGCATTCTTAAGGTACACTGCAGTATTAACTGCTTCAGCCCAATATTTCCTGTTTCCAGAATCTTGAAGCATGGCTCTCGCCTTCTCCATAATGGTTCTGTTTAATCTTTCAGAAACACCATTTTGTTGTGGTGTATAAGGTACCGTAGTTTCATGGACAATACCACATTGCTTAAAATATTCAGTGAAACTCTTATTAAAATATTCAGTACCATTATCACTACGAAACCGTTTTATTTTAAAATTAGTTTGGTTTTCGACCAACTTTTTAAAATCAATAAACGTTCTTAAAACACTGTTTTGATTCTTATTTTGTAAAAAGTAAATAAAAGTTTTACGAGAAAAATCGTCTGTAAAAGTAATAAAATAACGGAAACCGCTCCAACTTTTTTCAGACATGAGTGGATCAGTTCTAATTTATTTGTCGTTCTTTTAGCCTGCCCTTTAGGAAAAACAAGATTATGTTGTTTTCCTTCAATACAAGGAATACATGAGCCCAAATCACCATTTTCAAAATTAACACCGGTAGCTAGCGAATCACGAAGCATTAACATACCTTTTAAACTGAGATGCCCCAAACGCCGACGCCAAGTTTCTAATGACCTAGTTTTAGATACTAAGGCATTATCTTTATTTCTAGTAATTCTATCTGATGACTCCAGTTTAGACGACGATAATACTTCCTTTTGATCCAATCTGTAAACACCATTAACTTGTGTCGCTGTAAATTTACCAAAGAACCAATTATATTTACATCTGACTTATCATAAATATGACACATAATATCATCAAATACTAAGATATAATCTTTTTGTGCTATTTTACTCACAGATAACAAATTTGCTGCAATATTTGGAACATACAATACATTAGTTATAGTTTTTGTATCACTATTACTAAGAACAATATTAATGTCACCTACACCTTCACTATACATTTTATTATTGTTAGCAATGCTAGTTTCAGAAGGCTGGTTTTTGAATAATTAACAAACCAGTTATTTCGATTAGTCATATGACTAGTACAACCAGAGTCAATTATCCAATTGTCATTAGTAATAGTGTTACTAAATAAAGCAGTATGAGTTGAGAATAACATTGTATCTCTATTTTTTGTGTGAGATATAGAACCTGACTGTTATGAAGTAGAAGCATGCTGCAAATAATTATTAAACTCTTTCTTTTTATTTTTCTTCTCCCTTCTTAGTTCAGGACACCTTGGCCTAATATGTCCTTCCTTCTTACAGTGATGACAAACGGGAAAGAATTTATTTTTTACAGCTAAAGCTTTGTCCTTCAAATCAGCAATCATATACTCATTTCTTTTAAATTCACCTTGAATTAAACGAGCTTTTACAAATTCTGAGGTCAGTTTGGATCGAACTCGCTTGGTAAACCAATGATCATTAATCCTGCAATTTCTTCATCATCAATAACACAACCAATATCAGAGAGTTCTTGAGTTACAGACATAATTTCCCCTAAGTAATGATCCATAGTACTATAATCTATATATTTAATTTGAGAAAGTTTTCTTTTTAATTGCAACCGTCTACTGATACCCATATTTTCATATGCACGATTTAAATTATTCCATGCCTCTGCCGCAGTTAGAGCATTCCTTACATGAGGATAGCATATAGGTTTTACTGATAAACAAATTTTGGCATAAGCTTTTTGATCTTTTGAAGAATCTGGGGTACCTTTATAATGGCTATTTACATATTCCCAAAGACCATGATCAATAATTACTTACTCCTTCAAGTTTTTCAATATTTATGTTTGATCCACTACTAATAAGTAATTGAGTTGGAACAGACAAACCTGTGATAGCTGCTGAATCGCCAGTCTCTGACATTAAAAAAAATTTCAGCAAATCACTTGAAAATATTTCACAAAATTAATTTATTTTTGTGATTCTTTTGGTCGCAATACCATTCAAAGAAGGCCCTTAACCTATGTTAAGTATTGGACACGAAAACTTCTTCTCTAAAGATAAATATTTCTCCTTTTAAACGGAAGAGTTTATTGACATTACAAATTATATTTTTTGACAAAAACATTCAAATAATTTTGTTTAAATACAAGGGTGATTTTTTAACAAATTTAAATCAAAAGGATATTTCTTCGTTGTTTAGCTTGAAATGAATTCATTCCATACTTTATGTACACAGTCTGTAACATAGAACAAAATATATAAGTTGTGTCATGACAATTTCTACAGAATACATAATAATTTTACCACATATTTTAAATTTGAATAATTATTTTTATTGAAAAACCGCTGTAAGTTCTTTGACAATAATAAATATCGTATAGCTGTATTTCAAAAATAGTTGGGAACAATCTATTGTCTTCTCTTTATATCACTCTTTGTTCTCTAAAATATAGTAATGACTGGACTATAATCCAATCTGCGAATTTAAGCAAAGCCCGAGATTGGATGTGCCATATAAAAGTTAGAAGAGCCAACAAACTTTTGAATTATTTTTCTCCAGAAATAATGGTTCAATATAGATGATTCTTTTATTCATTTCCCCCTTTTTAATTTAATTAAATATCGCAATTTGAGTGTTTGGGCAGCTTACAATAGAACAACATAAAAAAAGTTTCTGAAGTCGTAAATTTCGATTTCATTTTATTATGAGCCGAAGTTAATAGAATTGAGTTTTTATTTTCTTCTTTTCTTTACTTTCTTATTTATACATTATTCACGTTAAGACGTTTTTGCGTTATATTTTTACCGAAAATTATTTACGGCCTTTATTGTGGACAGACGAACGAATTTCTTATTACTTTTTTATTTGTCTTTGATGTTTTTGAATGATTGGATACATAGAAGTTTCTGAAAAGACTGTTATTGGTTTAACAAATACGATTTAAATATTTGCTCCACCTCGTTAATTTTTAAATATTTTTTTAATTTTTAATACAATTTGTTTTTTGCTGTTAGGCATTACATTAGTCTTTTCGCATTTGATACAAATTAAAATTATTTTAAATCTAAATACAGAGCATAGAATAAAAAGTAAAAACACAAAGAAAATACCCTAAAAAAAATCACTTTGGAATTACTTTGTCATTAACAGTTATTGCGTGCCAAAAATATACATTCAATTACCTGTTAGGAAGCAATCAATTTTGTGACATCAGGCTTCTAGGTGAGAACAACTGTATGTGCGGAAAAAAGAGAGGTAGATTGTTATTTGAGTCTAGATAATTTACGGTTTTTGAAAAGTTTTATTATACAGTGCTTTTCAGATAAAAGTATCCAGTGATTTAGGTGGCCACTCCATCATCGAGCCTCTTCTACCTATCCAACGATTGGGGAAAGTTTCATTTAAAAATTGTCGTACTGGCAAAGCAAAATGTGGAGGCGCTCCATCCTGTTGAAAGACAAGCAAATCTTCAGAAAGATTATGATCATTTTCTATTATTGTTGTAATACGTGGATCAATTACTTCTCTCAATAACTCAAGATATGACTCTCCATTTAAGTTTCCGTCTAAAAAGAAAGGTCCGACTATGTGGTCACCTAGGATACCACACCATACATTTAACTTTTGAGGATTCTGTGTGTGGTATTCACGCACAACATGTGTATCACTCTCAGCCCAATATCTGCAATTATGTCTATTAACTAAACCATTAACTGAAAATGTGCATTCATCCGAAAAACAAAGGTTGTGCAACAAATGTGGATTGTCAGTCAAGCGCTGACTCAATAGTTCACAAAATTCAAGACGACGATCAAAATCATCTTCATACAACTCTTGAACCAATTTAATTTTGTATGGATGGTACTTATGGTTGTGTAATATTCGATAAACTGTGGAAGATGAAACACCTACTTCTCTGCTTATTGTTGTCAGTGACTGTGCTTGTTGATTTTCAAGACTTACTTGTCCTAAAACTGCGACTTCAATTGCTTCGTTATTTACGAGTTCCAGTCGGTTATGTTTTTTATTGCCAACTGACCCGGTTGATGTAAATTTATGCATAAGATCAATTACTTACTTATGAGTTGCATGACCTCCTTGGTGTGTTTCGTTGAAAATTCTAGCAGCAGCTCGTGCAGAACTGTTATTTTTGTAGTATAAACCTACAAGTTCAATTCTTTCTTGTAAACTGTAAACCATTTTCAAATCAAATAAATAACCTCAACAAATCAATGTGCACATGTATCAAAATACACTATAAAAGTAATTTAAATTCATTTTTCAAATCTCCAATACCTTTACCATGTATCATAAAAAACTTCAACAAGTTTTTAGCAGTACGATTAAGGTATAATGTATTCTAAATCCAATTTTGCTGCAGTCAGTAAGGTGAGATGTAAAAGTTTGTCACTCAAATAATGGAACCCTGTAGATCATAAACTAATTATTTTAAACCCCATGTTTTATACATTTTTGAAATCAGTTAAACGAGAACAATCCAAAAATGGATAAAAAAAATGGGGGAAGCCATTTAAAAAAATTGAAGGGATGATAGTAGGGGTGAAAGGGTGACTTTTTCAGCAAACTTAAATATGGCACGATATCTCCCCCTTATTATTAATTGACGTATTTTTTTGTTTTTTGTAATAATCAGTCCTTCAAAAGTTACTTAAGGTGGATACTTTTATCTTAAAAGCACTGTATATAAGTAAAAGATAAAGGTTTTAGCAATTTATTCTGTTTTATAAAATACACAAACTGACAAACTGACAACTAAATCAAAATTAACAGTACAATACTGGGTTTCCCAATAAGAACGCGCGATCTTTGGCAACAGCGCATTGCAAGGTCGAAAGTCACACACGCGTTACCTTTGCCAGGAGTATTCAGTTAGCCTTGACATTTAATATGGAGAGGTATACAATTGAACAACGTGTCGAAATCGTCAAAATTTATTACCAAAACCAATGTTCTGTTCGGCAAACGTTCCGCGCACTTCGTCAAGTTTATGGTGCCATGATCGTCCTACCGAGTCCTCAATTCGCCGTTTAATGCATAAATTTGAAGAAAGTGGTTCAGTGGCAGATCTACCAACGCCTGTACGCCAACGAAGGGTGAGATCCGTTGGAAATATTGCTGCCGTTCGGGAAAGTGTACAGTCTATTCCGCGTCGTGCTCAAGATCTTGGACTTTCGCGGATGTCAACCTGGCGAATTATGCATTATGACTTACACCTTCACCCATATAAGGTGCAATTGACTCAGGAGTTAAAGCCCAATGATCATAGACTAAGCCGTGAATTTGCTAACTGAGCGCCAGAACACTTGGAGGATGACTATGATTTAGGGAAAAAAATAATCTTTAGTGACGAGGCGCATTTCTGGTTAAGTGGCTTCGTTAACAAGCAGAACTGCGGAATTTGGAGCGACGAAAACCCGCGGGAGATTCACCAAGTGCCACTACATTCCGCAAACGTAACCGTATGGTGTGCATTATGGTCCGACGGAATAATCTGTCCTTATTTTTTCGAAAATGAAGAAGGAGTTACTTACTGTCGACGATGAGCGATATAGAGCTATGATAAGAACATTTTTGTGGCCTATAGTGTGTAAGGGGTTTTCTCGCCTCAGAGAAAACGATTACTTACAAATGACGCCTGTTGACGGGACGGCTCTCGGGCGCCAGATTTGATGTGTGGTTTACTCCACAAACTTTCGAAACGGCGTCGAAAGTACTCGGGCAGCACAGATGGAGATGAAAAATTCCAGGGGTCGTTGGTCACTCAGACACAGGTAATAAGTAACCACAAGTAACGGGCTTTAATCGTTGCTTGTGGTGATAAAGAATTTCTCACTGCTGAAATAAAGGGGGAAGTAAATTAGGGTTCAGTAACTTCAGTAACAGTCAAGGTAACGTTGACACATATATTGAATTTTTAACTATTTACAATAAAAAAAATGTAAGTATTATTTCAACGCCCACCCCCGCTCGTAATTTTAAAACCCTGAACAAAATAAAAACAAACAGATCGGCCAGTAACGATTAGTCTCAATCAGACGGTAGAATTAAAATTAGAAGAAAGATGCTCGGTGGCAATAGTATCTAATTAATAAATTTGTCGGATCGGTGGTTGAGCCAAAACGAAACCAAAAACAAATAATGGCGGTCGTAGCAAAAGTTAATTAGTTAACTCTTAAATCGGCATAAAGATTAAAGTTAAATATTTTGTTTCGCAAAAAAAAATTAAAATCACGGTCGTAGAAAAAGTTATCTGGTTAACTCTCTAGTCGGTATTGAAACTGAAACAAACCTCCTTGTTTTAGTGAATGGGGAATAGATAAATGATAAGAAAACGGGATAGTATCAATCCTATGAGGAGTGCACTCGCCACAACCAGCACGCTCAACATAAAAATGATACTATCATTTTAATCACGGCGCGGAGGTAACTTAAAGAAAATGATACTATTTCAACTTTCCAACTTTCGAACTAATTCTATTCCCAAGTAAAGAAACATAAATAAAAAAAAAGTTAAACCAGATTGTGAATAAATAGAAACAAAACTTACGGTCGTAGTAAAAGTTAAGTAATTAACTATGTACGGAATTTAATTTAAATTTAAATTTAAATTTACTATTACTAAAAAAAAATTAGGAACAAAATTCACGGTCGCAATGAAAATTAACTAATCAACTGTATACGGAATTTAATTTGAAATAAGGTTTACTATTACTGTAAAATAGAAACACAATTCACGGTCGTAATAAAATTAATTAATTAATAAAATAGAAACAAAGTTTCTATTTCCTAATAACCAAAACTAATTTCCAATGTTTCTAAATAAAATCAAAACTAAATAATTTATCTGTAAATTAAAATATTTTTAACGAAAATCTGAAATCAATTATTATTTCTATTAAATAAAATCGAAAACGGAATAATTATTTCAAATGAAACCGGTATTCGAACGTTTTAACTCAAGAACCGTCGACAAAAAAAATGTAAACAAATTCGGTGTACCTAACTACGGACTCGGCGATAATTTTCAGCGGCGTATATCGGAGCAAAAGCAGCAGATGCTAGTCGAATCAGGAAAGTCAATTGAATGAATTTTCATACCGAATTCTGAATTCCAGTCTCTATGCCCAAGGCAATGATACATCCAGCACTCACTTTGGTTATGGGACTAAAAAGAACCAATTAGAACGGGATACGTCACGACTGTGGGTGGGATCGATTGACAATTAACACGTAGCAGTTAGATTTTTTAACCTAACATTTTTGTTTGTTAGTTTGTGCCAGTTTTTGTTTTGGTTTTGCTCACGGCCAAATATTTACAGTAATAATCCTTCCTCCATGATTTACAGTTATAGTGTGTGTACATACAATCCATGTACAATCGTGGTTTTGATGTTTGCTTTTACCATAGTTGCTTACCGAAATAATGGATATCGCGCCACTACCCTCTTTGAATGATGAATTTAATGTAAGTACAACATTTTTGCACCTTGTTTCTCTAAGACGAAAATTAAGCCATTCAAGTAAAAGTTCATATTTGTTTTCTTTTGTATAACTACTAATTAAATATTTTTGCTGAGAAAATTGGTACCTACATGTATGTTCATAAACATAAAGTACAAACAAACTGCTAGGATTTTTGTGTAATTAAATCTTTATTTTTCAGTCAGTTTTTCCACCTGGTTGGGGAACAACAATTATTGGTAAAAAAATAGTAGAGGGTGAAGATAAGTTCCGGAATGTAGAATTGCATTTTTTCATCAATTGCACCAATGAAGAGGAGTTTAGAAAGTGGTTGATGGAGTTTGAAAATTCAACAAGTTCATCATACGTTATCGCCTGTACAGACGTTGAGAATGGAGCTAAATTGAAACTGAAAAGAAGACTAAGGTAATAAAGGTTTTATTATTAATAAAACCTTTGGAAAACACAGATTTTACAGGTTACAAAAATTAGGTAGTAAATTAATGTAATATCACATTTGTTTATGCTCTTATTTATAATGTAGGTTATATTATTTATTACATGTAGGTTTATTACAGTTTATTATTATGTTACCTGGAAAATTTAATTTTAGGTGTCATCATTCTACACGGTGCACTAAAACCTACAACCCGTCCTTAAAAAACAAAACTAGAAACACCAATTGTCCTTCGAAAATAACTGTAAAGATACATGTTATTAGAAAAAAGTATAGGGGCAAGAAAGAAAATT